TCCGTTACAGTCAGTGGGGCCAGACCCCCAGCTGGTGTGAATTGTCATCACTCCGTTGACCTCGACTCCAATTTACACCAGCTGAGGTTCTGACCTGTGCACCTTTGTCAAGATGGTCAGTGTCATAACGCCCATTGTGCAGGTGGGGAAACTGAGTCACGGACTAGGGAAGTGCTCACCCCGCAGGCCAGCGAGTGGGGTTCTAGCCTAGGAGGCGTGGGCTCAACCCCCTGCTCTGCCTGGTTACTTGTGTGACCAGGACGCCACCATAGGCCGTACTATGTAGCCTGTGTCTCTGAGGTGTCAGGACATGTGAAAAGCTGCCTGCGTGTCTGGCCGGGAAGGGGAACAGACAGGCAAAGAGCTGGGCCAGCGTTTCGAGCAGATAAACAGAGAGCTGGGTCAGCAAACGAACCTCCGCGCTAGGCAGAAAAAGCGTTTGTCAATATCGGCTGAAGAACTTTGGAACGGCGGAGTTGAGGCTTGCGTGTGGGTGTGCTGCTCTCTTGCTGACACTCCCGTAAACCACACGCTGCCTGGGGTCCGTCTGGGATCCGCTGCGTTCCCGGGGACGGGCTCAGACAGCGGCGGAGCCGGGGAGAGAACCGGCGGCTCACGGGGGCTGGGCTAGTTCTCCCCCACGCCACCTCTGCACGGCCCTGTGGGGCCGACCCGCCAGGTACAGTTCTGCCAGGTGTACGGGGCACCGTCGGCCCCCACTGACGCTCAGTGCGTTTTATGGTGGCCCTCTCCCGGTACCAAAAGAAAGGGGTAGGTCCAATGAGAAATAAAGATCCTGAGACTGACAGTCCCCCAGGCCAATGGGGAAAGGCCACTGCTCAAGGTCAGCCCGATTGACAGGGCAGGCCAGCCAATGAGGGAGTTAAGAGCCCGGGGGGTCTATCCTCCATGTGAACCGGAGCTGTCTGAAGCAGAGAAGGGCTGTGACCCACATGCGGGGGTGACGCTGGGGACAAGCGTCCTGCCACCTGGTGTCTGAGTGGGTGGGCACCGCCAGAGCAGGGGTCCGACCCGGGGCCACCACAGCAGAGCTGGGGCCTGGGACAGGTGAGGAAAAGGCGGTGAACTGGTCTCCCATCCCAGAGCCGGCCGGGTGCAATGTCCCCGAGCCCATGGGGTGGGGTCCTTGTTCCCTACCTCTCCCATTGCACCTGAGGTCTTACAGGTGTTTAATACAGTTTGTATTTGGTTTGAATGTAATGCTCGGATCCGTGGGTCGGGGAAGCGGCCGGTGCGGAGCGAGGGGACACCGTGGGGACACCCTGGCCCCTCTTCGAAGTGACCCCGATGAGAGTCAGGGTGCAGCCCCCCAGAATCCAGGGCCCAGCCCTGTCGGGGTTACAAGGACTTTGCTGCGTGGGAGGGTGAAGGAAGTGGGAGCGAGGACTCGGATCCTGTGGCCAGTCCGTGTGCCAGAAAAGTTCCCGCCGTAGCAGGATCGTTCCCC